TCTCTGTCATTAATACTCCAAAACTACATATATCAGATTTTAGTGAATAAGAACTTTGTTTTCTTAATACTTCAGGTGCCACATATGATAAGACACTAATCACTATCGGTGATGGTATGTGATCGGCGGATTTGGTAAACCTAAATCTTCAAGGATTTGAAGAATTTGAAAAATCAAATTTAAAATAATCTGTAAAATTAATTTTATGTATACATATTAATTGTTGATATTTTTTTTTTGATGTTAGGATTTATATTTTTTAATACTTGAGAATAAAATAAATGATAATTAAAATATCGTCCAATTAAATTGATAGAATTCATTAGATGAAAGTGAAAAAGACTCAAAAGAAGGATTTGAAAATAATTGACTTGATGTTGAATTTATTGTAGACGAATTTGTGAAGAATATGATATTGTAATAAACATTGAAATTAATCTTACACAAATCTCCCTCCTTAATACTAGCGAACCATGCTCACCTTCAAGCTTTGCTAATTGTATTTATATGTTTAAAATAAATGATCGATTTGTAGGAATTTGAGTTCGTTTGTGGTTGAAATTTCTGACCATTATTACAGTTTTGATTTTCTTTATTTTTTTAATAACTCGATCAATATTAAACTCATAGAGATAAAAAAACAACCATTTAGAGTTATCACTCTACTTGTTTTGAATATGCTTGTTAACAAATTATCAATATCTAGGCTATTAGCCAATGGTTAAAGTTATGGATGAATGGACCTATTAGATTTCTTGTCTGTCATAAATGAGAAATATGAGATATTTAACAATTAATTATTAATAATTGTTAATAATATAATAGTTGTTGAGAGTAACACTATGTCTAAAGTTTCAATGAAAGATGCCGTAATTTCCTTTGAGATAGCTTTTAATTTTCTTCAACAAGGTGATTTAGAAATAGGTTGTAAAGAAATTAAAGCATTTAAACCATTGAAAAAAGTGAAATTATTAGATAATACAACCAAATATTACATCTTATTTCAACAAATAATTTTC